ACCATATACTGCAAACATAGCAAGTTAAAAATACGGTACCTTAGACAATTCCAGATGGAGTCATAATAAAGTATGGCTGCAATCCTGCGTTTTTTCCGATCTCGTTGAGAACCTTCGGCTCGTTTGAGGACGGGCAATTGTTTGATTCCCTTAGCCTCCATTAGTTGTTTTGCCATTGCCAGATCTGTATCTGGGTAACACATCAGAAGCCCACGCTCTCTGCCACGGTAGATTATGCTACGCGTGAAAATAGACGAAACAGTGGATGTATTTACCTGCATAACGAAATTACATTATTTTTTTTTTAAGGAAAAAAAAAAGTAAAGTAAATAAAACGAAAGACATACATCTGCAGAGTCATTGTTCGAAGCATCACCAAATCTCTTGGACAAATATCGTTTTATGTCGCCAACTGTCAGAATACCTTCCAGACAATCATCGCTATCAACCACAAGGGCACAATTCTGCTGGTCATCACGCATACGGTTTAGTGCCTCTCTCAGAGTTAGAGATAAAGAAACTTTCAAATAGTTGTTTGACATTGCTTTAGAAACCTGATCGGAGAAAGAAAAAAAAAATGAGAGATTGTTAGTATAGTCTTATTTCATCAAATGGGTGTTCCAACAAGGATACGTGACAAAATGGACCTTCATATTCTCTAGTAAAAAGTCAATATCTAATGACTGATAGCTACTGGAGTTTCCAATAACCGAGAGTTCTATATCATTCCCGTCACCAGATTGTCTCCAAAAATCATCGTTTTTGTCGTCAATAGGTGATACAATGTGATAGCCTCGTGGAGAGTTTTTTGTATCTGATGCCTCTGCCTCCTTCGGCTGGGTTGTCACAGAGGGCACCCATATGGCTAATCCAACGGCACCCTGATGCAATTGAAAAGGACCGAAGGAAAATTACGAAGACTAGTTTAGTCAGCACTAGAAATTTATTGGAATTTGAAATATAGCCATTTGAGAGGCAAATTATGAATAGATAGACCTTTTCAATCATCAACGCTTGGCATATTAACAGAAACAATAAACAATGGGTTCTAACTGCTAACTGTACAATGTTTAAACCTTCAAATGCTTCAAGGGTCCTCCTTACTCCTTAGCATAAAGGGTATTTCACTGTACATGAGAACCGAAATTTTTCGTGCACAACTCTCACTTTTTAGATTGTTGTCGAGGGCTTCAATACTCGTGCAACTATCTTAATTTATAAAAGATGAAGAAGAAGTGGCAATAATAATCCTATGGGATAAGACGAACTAATCCAGCCATTTTTTTACCAGAGATTGGATTTTAGTAAAAATAGGCCAGTGGCAACCAAATCCTACTCACTTAAGTGGCCTGTCAATACTAAATGCAAAAGAACTTGCTGAAAACTGTCAGAAAAAGAATTTACAGTTTTTCAGTGTCCTAATCATAACTATATATAGAACTCCAACTTCCCGTTTTTAACTCTGTGAACCAATGATTAATATCGATAATAAACTCAATAACTATAAAATGTATCTACTTGGTACAAGCCCAAATAGTCTCCCCATGTGCAATAAAAAATCAAAGTAACTGTACGAGTTGGTCTAAACCCACAATACTAGAATGAACGAGTTTTTCACGACAACAATATCACAGCAAAATACAATCCAGATCCACTATGACTTACCATGAGAGGAAGCAAGATTCTGTAATCTTTCGTCAGCTCAAAGAGAAGAAGAACTGAAGTTAGAGGCACAGAACAAACAGAAGCTAATGTTGCAGCCATTCCCACCTACATTATGATACAGTAACGGGGCAACGTCAACAATTACAATTGCATTCAGCATAGGCCTGAGGCTCGGTAACAGAAGAATTGTATTCAGCATAAAGCCACAAAATAAGACATTACCAACGCATAGGCCTGAGGCTCGGCAACAGCAGCATTTCCTGGAATAGCCTTGTTGATAATCTCCCCCGCACAGCCCCCAAATACGGCACCCACAGCAGCACCAATCATCAAACTTGGGGCATATAACCCACCGACGAGCCCAGACCCCTTACAAAGAGTAGTAGCGACCACTTTGGCTGCAGATAATTGAGCTAGAAGCCATATTCCAGGTGCCGAGGCATTCTTTCCAGTGTGTAATATTTCATCAACGTTATTAAACCCCCAATACAATATTCCAGGATACCTGAGAGCTATTAGCCCAGCTCCTAAACCTCCTATAGCAGGACAGACCACGTCTGGAATCCCGTATTTCTCTTTGGCAAACTTAAATACCTCAGTGAACCATGCCAACAAGCGAGTGAAAGCCACACTTACTACTCCACATAGCATCCCCAATATAAGGTACAAAGGTAGCTCTGAGCAAAGATAAAGAAAATTTCAATAGTCAGACAAATATCCCGATTCAAGGTAACACAACACTGAGCAAAGATGAAGAAAATTTCAATAATCAGACAAATATCTATTCAATTCAACACAACACCCGTGCTCAACAATCAAACTTGCTCATACGTTCATAGTAAGCATTTTTTATTTTCACTGACTACATCTACCATGTGTGATCAAGAAGATGATCAGGGGAGTAAACTTCAAGAGAGAAATACATTCTCTATGCTTCACTACGTATCATTATCCATTAGAATTTATTTCCGGCTCACCTCTATCAGTGAAAATATTTTGCTTATCAGTTGACAAAAGAATGTGCTAGTGTATATTGTAGAAATGCAAGTAGTACTTGCCATTTTCAAGCAAGCCCACAATTTGATTTAAGATAGAATGCACTTAAAAAAAAATAAAAAAGGATTAACAGAAACAGATTTTGCTCACAATTTTTATTTGATTTAGTTATCAAGCGCCACATTCCTTTTGAAGACCAAGACATCCTACTTTCCATTAGGGTCATGAGACAAAAATGCTACCAATACGCTACCCTAACAAATATGACTACCTTAACTTTTCTTAAGCTCGTCATAAGAAAAACAACAAATAGCATGCACTGATACGTAAATTTTACATTGAAAATTCATAGATCAATCTTAGTCATTGTGCTCAAATACCATACCAAAAATAATCAGACAGCGTCTCTTAATATGTTTCAGTTTTACAAAAAACAGAATCAGATAAAATACCAGCAGCAGATTTCAAATCGTACGTGGGCACTGTGAACGCCTGTTTCTCCCCAAGAACAGCATTTGATACAGTAGATGATATAACAGATGCCAATATTATCATTGCTGTCGTAAATGGAGGGGAGTTTTCAGCACGGAGAGGCCTTAAAACTGTTTCAATAGCAAAGAAACATCCAGCAACTGCTGCATTGAAACCTGTGATGCATGTGGAAGATTAACACAACCTACCATGAAGATTAACTATGTAAAAGAGTGATTATCAAACAATTCAAATATATTATGATGAATTCATGATGGAACAAACACAATCGTTTGGGCATAAAGGAAGGTAACAATGTAGTCAACCAGGAAAATGCAGACTTCCTTCCCACCACCAAGGATGAGAAAATATCATAGAACAACAAATAATAAAAGAGATAAACAATAAATGGCAATGACAAGGAAAAGATGCACTGAAACACCATAGGTTGTTCAGAAAGTGTGACTTCATGTTAATGTCGGGAAAAAAACATTCAAGATATGTCATATATAGTAAGTAGATACCTGAAGCAATTCCAGCAGCTGCACCAGCAGCAACAAGAGCAATCTTCCGTTCCCTGTTGTTTTCCATTGTCACTGAGAACCCATTAGCGCACGATTTTCCAATATCGACACTGGGGCCTTCAGGACCTAAAGAACCTCCAGTCCCAAGAGTCACAGCAGCTTGGATAGCCTTCACAGTGGGAAAAATTGCAGAAAGCACATCCCAGCCTTGTCCTTGAGAAGAAGTGGACTGTTTTATTTGATCCAGTATTTCAAGAAGACCATGCAAAACACCCACAACTACTCCACCCAAGACTGGTATCAAAAGTATGCGGTGCCAAGTATCAGCTAGCCTTTGTAGCCGAAGCCATGCAGCGCCTTCATTTGGAGTACCAGCCCATGCCCATTCATGTACAATGTGTACCTGTATAGTGTAAAATGCAAGGTTGATATCAACCAATGACAGAAATAAAATAGTTAACAAACAAAGAACAACAGCAACAACATAAAAAGTGGTTTGCTTCAAAAATTGAGGAAGTTTAAACCCTGCATACTAAAAAATCACGTGTTGTGTAACCAATTTTTTTGCACAATCAGAAATGTAAGCTGGGAAAGAAAAAATTAGGATGCATATCTTAGATCGTGAAAGTAAATTGAACACTGAACCAACTTGGCTCTCATAACGGAGTCCATACGCACACAAAAAAGAAAAGGTACTATACCCATCTATAATACTAAAAACATTTGAGACGACAGTGATTGAATTCCTACAGGTTTAATCACTTAGTTTAGCACATGAATCAACAGCCAAGCGCCACTTTGATCTAATCAAAGTAGAACCCTTAAGCTCTGTACATAGTAAAGCATTTAAAACGATCCTTGAACTATCAGTTGTCTATTACAGATCGTCTAATTCTGAACATCAAAAAAGACACCTAAAATTTATCCAGCCAAACGCACAATCCACCCAGTACAGTTTCATCTATCTATCAAGCTCAAAAACTTCTTTTTGAACTTCCAATTGCTATAATAGTCTTCAAGCAAATTTTCGTTCTAGCGAAAGTTTGTACATATCATGCAAAAAAACTCAATAACCATTCCTTCAATATAAAAATCTAACACAAAAAAACTACCAACTTTAATCAACTCTCCCTCCATTTAATAACTAACGAGCTAAATATCTTCTTCTTGAACTTCAATTGCTATAGTAGTTTTCAGGTAAATTTTCTCTCAGAAAAACTGTACAGATAATGCAAAACCTTAATAACCATGCTTTTAATATACAAATCTAGAGCAGCAAGCAGTGTAACTATTCATTAATTAGGTACCCATAAAACATCAATACAAGACAGAAACAAAATCTAAACATCTACAAACTAACCCCACGGTTAAAAGCTGCGACACAAAGGCCCGTTGCAACTCCGAGGAGGCACCCGATAAGCAGCAACGCCCACTCCGGCGGCGCACTCTCCCCGAGGAAATCATCACCGGACGCCGCATTGGCGCCAGCACCACCACCGTGATCCGGCGGCACAAGCGGCGAAGAGGGGGAAGCGGAAGAGAGGCGGTGGTGTTCCCTGTCGGGCCGGAGCTTGACACTGAGCCTGCGACCCGAGCCCGAAAGCCCGCGATCGAGGCGCTTCAACAGATCCGCCGCAAATCCCCCCTTATTGCCGCCGCCGCTGTTCCTGACCGGCGAATGGCCGCCTCCTCGCTCCAGATCGCCGTCGGAGCCCGATGAATTTGAGCGCAATAAAATTGTGCGGTCGCTGAAATCGCCGCCCGATGACATATCTCCGGCCACCGTTCAGATCTTCATAAAACCATTGCTTTCAGATGTACAACACGCAAAGCCATACATACACACCTCTTTAGGGGGGTTTTGGGGTTCGTTACAAGCTAATTAATTAGTTTGAGTTAGAAATAATAAAATATGTTTTCTTATATCAATGTTTGGAAGTGTGGTTGACTGTAACAATAGTTACATAATTTATAGAAGTAATAATAATCTATACTTATATAAAAAGCTAACCTATTTACTAAAATTAGTAGCAAAAAAATAAGTCAGCATTTAATGCAACCTATATATAGTAGTTTTATTATTTTTCTTATTTTTTATTTAAAAGTTATACAGTTTAATTTATAAATACGCTTTAATATAACCATACAATTCAATCGTACAATTTAATTTATTAAAATTATATAATTTATTTTTTTTCTTTAAAAATACGCTTTAATATATATATATATATATTGTAATAAATTTGAATAAAATGTGTTATTTAAATATCTAAACAATTTAAAAATTCAAATGTTAAACAATTTAAAAATTCAAATGTTTAATTTAATTGATAAACAATTTGTAAAGCTCTATACTTATATGAAAAGCTAACCGATTTACTAAAATTAGTAGCAAAAAAATAGGTTAGCATTTAATGCAACCTATAAATAGTAGTTTTATTATTTTTTTTATTTTTTATTTAAAAGTTATACAATTTAATTTATAAATACGCTTTAATATAACCATACAATTCAATCATACAATTTAATTTATAAAAAATATACAATTTATTTTTTTTC